ATTAGTGGGCCAGTCAATAGGACAGGGGTAGAGAGGGAGCCCAGGAAGTAAACTAGGTCTGATAAAGGTTGAAAAACACTTTTAACTAGAGCAAAGGTACTCAAACTTTCTGTATCTGAGTCACCTGGAGAGCTTTTCTATTCCTAATGGGAGGTGCCATGAGCTAGCTTCAGTAAATTGGAAGCATGCTCTGAAAGCAGGCAGTCCAGGTTTGATTCCAAGTTCTACATGTTCTTCCAAGCACCAAGAGAAGTGACACTTCGAGCAAAATTAGTAGTCTTTAGCACCACAAGGTATGGTCTAAAAGACACACACACACACACACACACACACACACACATTCCTAACATATAATATTCCTAAGAATGTTAGAAAGAGAACCAGACCACGGACCATGACAATAACATCCAAATAATCTGAGGGTAGGACTTTGGTTTTAGTATTTTTAAATCTGTTTGGGTGATTCCAGTATGCAATCAGCTTTGAGAATTACTAAACCGCTGTACTGATCCAAAACAAGTGCTCAATAGCGCCTCTCTTCTGCCTCACATTAATTCCTCAGTCTGGAATCCCTAACTCCATTCTCTGTATTAAGATCTATCTCATACTTCAAGAACCACCTCAAATGTCTCTGCGAAGTAAATCACCCAAGGCTGGGAAACAATGGAGAGACAGCAGAGAAGAAGGTACTCACCCTGCACAAGGCTCTGGCTGTGACAATGGTCTGAATTCCAATACTGCCAGGTGTGGCCCCAGAGGACTGTTGGGTATGATACCATACCAAAGAAAAATAAGTGAAGAGCCATATCATACAGGGATTATCTTTACTTTTGTAATGTGAGAGCTACACCCAGTGGTACTTGTGAGTTAGACCAAGGTCACCCAGGACAGTTACAGAGAAGTTGTACTACCCATTGTACTATCTCTCCAGCCCCTGAATTCTATTTTAAATAGAATGAAGGTACCATAATCTAAACAGCAGATTAATACATAGAGAATCAACATATAGTAGGGAAGGTGTCATGATGTGGTGCTGAAGAGTAATCCCTGGACCTGGAAAGGCATATGCTCATGTGAGTAACATCCTAAGTAGTGATTTGAAACCATGCTTAGAGTCTCTGAACTCTTTTCAGAGGGTGGAATTGACTGTCAGGTAGTGTGCACAGAGCACTGATGTCTCTCCCAGCGACACTGTGTGGTCCTAACAGCTCTGGGCTCTATCCAGTAATGTGGTATTGCAGGAACAAGTGATGCCAGGAATAAACTATCTCTTCAGATCTTGAACTTTATTTAGTCTAGGGAAAACAAAAGTCACCAAAGGATACCAAAGAGTAAATAACAGGATCAAATTTGTGATTTTCAAAGATTACTCTGGTTTCTATAATTAGAGACGAGCAAGGGCAACAGTTATTTTTGTAACCTACTACTCAAGTACCCTAGGCAAAAAAGAAAAGTAGTGTGAGCTAAAATGGCAATGGAGATTTTTAAAATTATATTAATTTTAAAATTTCTGAAAAAATCCCTTATTTTACTTCAATTTCCCTGTGAACAAAGAAGTAATCTAGTGACTATCATTTTACCCACAAAACATAAAATGATTTGCACACAGTTAGGATTTAAATATTTGTTGAATAAATCAATGTATGACTCATAATGTAAGCTGTCTGAGGAACAGGAAAAATGGTGAATTATTATGAAAAGAGGAAACCGGGAAAGTAAGGTTTTTAAAAAATTTTTCAGAAAGTAAAAGATGAACTTGATTTTATTTATTTTTTCTGCTTTTGTGCCATACCTGGTGATGCTCAGGGCTTATTCCTGGCACTGTGATCAGGGACCAAATGTAGTGCCAGGGATAAAACTCAGTTCAGGCACATGTAAGACAAACTCCCTACCCATTGTACTATCTCTCCCTGAATTCTATTTTAAATAGAATTAAGGTACCATAATCTGAACAGCAGATCAATACATAGAGAATAAACATATAGCAGATATATATCTGGGGATGAATATTATCTACAAGCCAATCACTCCCCAAAAGCTTTGTTTTTCCCCCTGTGTTCCCTCCCTCCTGAACCTCTGTCCTGCATTCTTGATATATTCAACTGTCCAGCTGCTACTTAAATGTGTCAGAAACATCTCAAACTTAACCAAGTTCAAAAGTACAATCCAAAACCAAGATATAGCACAAAAGACTAAGAACAAGCTTTGCATACAGAAGCACTTGTTTGATTTCTAACATCGCATGGTACCCAAACACCACCAGTAATGACCTTCAGCATCAAGTTCAGAGCAGTCCTGAGCACTGCTAGATGGTGCCAAAAATAGGACACAAACTCCAACCACACTTCTAGTATCTTCTCTGACTTCATTTTCTTTTTCCCCCCTTTTTTGGGGGTCCCACCCAATGGTGCTTTGTACTTGGGGGTTCACTCCCATCAGTATTCAGGGGACCATGTGGTCCCAGGGTTTGAACATGGGCCTCCCACATGCAAAACATGTACTCAGTCCATTGAGCTCTCTCTGGCCCATGGCTAAATTCACTTTCTCAGTAAAATAAAAGGTAAAGGTAAGGTAGCACAGGTCTATTTTTCTAGTAACTCAAACCAAATAAAAATTTAAACCATTCCTAATTCCTCCTTTCTCTCCAGCAAATATCTAATTGGCCAACAAATACTGGTTATCATACCCTCTAAGTATATTCAGCATCTTGACTACTTCTCACCTGCCCACCACTATCACATGTGGTACAAGTCATTATCCCCTCTTAAGAGTAATGTGGTAACCTAATTTTCCTGCACCAGGGAAGCAATTGCCATAACAAATGCTCTGCAAGAAAAAGAGTAGGGAAACTCAAACTTTCCACCCTACCCTCCAACCTCATCTGTTCTCAGAACCATAACCAGAGCACCATTGGTTCTGAGCAGCAACTGTACTGCAGTACCTAACACTGAACCATCTGGGCCAAATGGTTGAATGTCACCAGGAATGGACCCTTGAGTGGCCTCCAACACTCAGAGCCCCCTAAGTGCTGCTTTCGAAGCTACCTTCCCCACCCCCCAATAAAAAAAAATGGTGCAAAGTTAAGTAAGATAATTACTGGGGCTGGAACTCAAAAGGCTAGGGCAGAGCCTGGAGTAACCCTAAAGCACAGCATATATGGCCCCCAAACAAGGGACAGACAACTTTTCTAATCTATTAACAGGCCTGCAATCGAACATCTCTGACTTCATTTCCTAGTCTCCATCCCCCCCCCATCACTTATTCTGTGTCAATCATGGGTTCCTCTGTAGCTTCTGCCAAAGATTAAGTACATTTCCACCTCAAGGCCTTATCATCCCCTATACTACCTTTCCCTGAATACCCTTTCCCTAAATATCCACAACCAATTACCTGCTTTTTTTTTCTTTGTTTGGTAACACCCAGTGATGCTCAGGGGTTACTCCTGGCAGTTCATGGGTGAACCATGTGGGATACCAAGGATCGAACCCTGGTCAGCCGCATGCAAGGTAAATGCCCTACCCACTGTGCTATCACTCTGAACCCCCATTACCTGCTTCATCCCCTTGTTCATTTGCCATCTTCTGAGATTTTCATAAGTCAGATTTAACATACAACTCTACTCCCACCTCACTGCCAATGGTTTTTTTTTTTTGAGGGAGGTGGTTTTGATATCAGTGATATCCAGTGGCTATGCCGCCCTGCCCCCTCTCATTCTTTGGGGAATCACTCCCCCGAATGCTCACAAGGTCATGCAATGCATTGGGATCCTTGGGTACAGAACACAGGGCTCCTGCATAAACAGCAAACACTCCAGCCCTTTGAGTTATCTCTACGACAGTTGTATTCTTTTCCCCTCTCATTTTGTTTGTTTGTTTTAGGGGACACGCTCAGAAGTGCTAAGGGGGTACTCCAGGCTCTGCACTCAGGGATCACTCCTGGGGGTGCTCAGAGGCACATATGTAGGGCTGGGGATCCAACTTGGGTCAGCTGCATGCAAGGTCAGTGCAAAAGCACCTGACTTAATGTCCCATATCTCTCTGGTCCCTCTCCATCCATACACACACACACACACACACACACACACACACAAACACACACACACACCTCGTTTCCCTACTCTCTTTTCTTGCAGAGCATTTGTTATGGCAAATACTATGTATTTTTTACTTTCTGGGACCTGGACAGCAGCTGATCAATAGCCCATAGAACAGAAGAAGCGCCCTCCTTCCAGCCTGGCCGTTTCAGGGAAAGATGGGGGTGTGTGGGGGGGAAGCAGAGAGCTCTAAGATTTCACCCAGTGCTCTGATCCCTAGAAGGATTAAGACTTTGCCTAGAAAGAACAACTGTGCTTTGTCTAGTCAACCACAAGGAGGAGTTGAAGAGGGAAAGAGTGGAGCCAGGAGCAAAATCAGCCTGCGCAAGATTTTCCTTGCTCTTCCTACGGCTGCCTGCAGGCGGAACCAGCCGGGATGGAGGTGGAGGCGGGCTGTCACTGAATGAATGATTTTCCTCCCAACGGAGTCAACTCAGACACACGGAAATCGCCCACACTAAAAAGCCACGAGTCCCTTCGAAAGGGAAGAAAAAAAAAGTGTGGTGGTGGGGAGCCAAGGAAATGCACATCCACGGGTCACGAAGGGCTTGGGAGGATGTTAACTTGCACGGCGCCGCAAATCTAAAAAGAAAAAGGAAAAAAAAAAGGCCACAAAACTCCGGGGAGAAGTTCCCAGGGGGGGCGCGCGCAGAGCCGCGTCAACTTCCACACCCGGCCCCCAGGAGCTGGGCGCTGGGCCGGAGCCCTCGGGCCAGACAACTCGCCAGTCCCTGCCCAGTGCCCCGGGCAAGGGTCCTCCCGAGGGCGGGACGGTCCTTCCCCCGCCGAGCCCGATCGGACCCGGGGCGGTCCGGTCCGGAGTCCCAGGCTCATTCCGACCCCGACCTGCCTTGCCCCCGCGGGGGTGGGTGCGAGGGTGGGGATGGGGGGGCGGCCCGGGACTCACCGCCACCTGTTGATGCCCACGTTGGACGAGCCGGCGAACCAGGGGTCGAGGATGTAGACGCAGCGGATGGTGTCGGCGCCCTGGATGCACTCGCGGAGCGCGGGGTTGTCGTGCAGCCGGAGCCCCTTGCGGAACCAGTGCACGGCGTTCACCACCCCCATGCCGCCGGCGCGGGCGCGGGCGAGGGCGCGGGCAAGGCGCGATCGCGGGCGCTCAGCGGCCGGCGCGGGGCCCAGGCGGGCGGACGCCGGGCCGCGACGGGCCGCCGCGCGCGCCCCGGGCGCGGGGCGATGAATGGAGACGACGGGCCGGCGGCGCGCCGGGTCCCGCGGGGACGCCCTTTAGGAGACGGCGCCCGCCACCGCCACCACAGCAGCCGCCGCCGACGACGCCGCCGCCGTCGCCACCAGACACATCCCTCGGCCGGGCTCGGAGCTCCAGGGAGCCGCGCCGCCACGCCGGCCCGAGAGCCGGCCCCGGCAGCCGGGGGAGACTCGTCACGGAAACCTCGGCGCCCACCGAGGCGGCCCCCCTGAGGAGAAGAAGCGTCCGCGCGCGCGCGCGCGCGAGACCAGCCGCCCGGAGCGGGGGGGAGACGAGGGAAGGACGCGGCGGCCGCCCCGGGCGGAGCCGCCTTCTCTGGGCCCCCCGGGAGCGACGGTGAGGCGTGGGGGGGGGGGTCGAGGCCGCGGGACGGTCGCCCGCCGGTGCCCCAGGTCCCGAGGCGGCCGGAGTGACTCCGCCGCCACCGCCGCCGCGTCAGCGGCCTCGGCCCCGCCCCCGGCCGCTCATTGGCCGGCGCGCCGCCCACGTGACGACCGGCACCTCACGTTTCTGAAGTGTGTTTACTACCGCGGCTCCGAGCGGGGCGATCGGAGCCTCCCCGCGGCGCTGCTGAGAGGCGGCGGCCGCTCGCCTAGGGGCAGCCCGTCGCCTCCGGCCGCGAGGGCGCGCTCCCGGGGCCGGCCCCCTTCCCGCGGGCGCTCGCCCCCGATTACCCTCGCCGCCCGGCAGGCCCCCCGCGTGAGGCAGGCTGGGCCCCGCCCTCGGGGACAGCGGGCGGCTCCCATTGGCTGGGGCTCCCCGGGACCCGGATGAGCACGGGGCTGCGGGGAGCTCGCGAGCGCGCGCCCGCTCGCGCTGGAGGAAGAGGAGGAGGAGGAGGAGCAGGCGCGCGTGCGCGCTCGCGGCGCCCTAGCCAGTAGTGCGGGGTGCTGCTGCTGCCAGACAATCAGAACGTGCTCGGGGTTCCTCGGGTGGGTGTGGCCCTCTCCTCCGGAATCAGGCGAGGATTGAATGGGAGGAGTGGACACGTACCCGCCACGTGGAGTTCGGAGCCCAAACCCTGTGTTTCCCATCACGCATACTTTGGCCAGAGCACCCTACTCTGCTGTGAGTGGGACTGGTGGTCCTACCTTTCCGGGGGACCCTTGGATGTGCTCTGCTGGGGAGAGGTCATTCCCTGGCAGTATTAATTCCTTAAAGCCATCGATGTGTCCATTCGTCTATCAGCCCCGCTCTCTTAGCATGGGTGGATGGATGCAGGCTGATCTTGGTTGATGGATCGTTGCCTGTCTTTGCAATGACAGTAGACTTCAAGCCGCACAACTTCAGCTCAACCGTTTCTTCCAGGAAGAACATTCAAAGTTGCGGAAGATACACCTGAGAAGATAATGGATAGCCTTGCCCTCCCCACCCCTCCCATACGGATGAAAGACGGAAGCTACAGTGAGGGTGGGATGTGGTCCAATAGGAACCTTCATTCACTGCTGGTATGGCTCAGTCTCGATGGAAGAAAAGTATAAATCTAGGGCATCTCACCCAGCAAATCTATTTCTTGGTATCTACCCCCAAAACACAAAACCAATTCAAAGAGGTAGTTGCACACCTATGTTCGTTGCAGAACTTAGTGCAAGAGGCAGGATGTGGAAACAACCCTGAATGACCAATGACATGTGAAAGGATTAGTAAACCGTGGTATGGCCTGGAGCAAGAGTACATGGGTAGCCTTACGTGCCACAGACCCAGATTCGATTCCCGGCACCTTATATGGTCCCTGTGCCCACCAGGAATGATCCTTGATTGCAGAGCCAGAAGTAAGCCCTGAGCATTGCTGTGGTCCTTCAAACCCAAAAACAAGCCAAAAAAAAAAAAAGCTGTGATATATATACACAATGAAGAATGATGCAGCTGTCAGGAAAGAGGAGGTCATACAGTTTGCTGTAACTTAGATGAAACTGGAAGGAAATGTTCAGTGAAGTCAGAGGGAGAACATCACTCATCTGTAATATGGAGAGAAACAAGGGAATGGAGAGTATCAAATACAAGCCCATAATCCTGGACTGCGATTACCAAATAAGAGCATAGTGGGTGTGGGGTCACTATGAGGTGGACTGGAAGTGACAGGAACATTGATGAAAAGTTGTGGGCATTTCAGTGAAGGTGAGGTAAAGTAGCTGTATATATCAAAGACATACATGTGAACACTATTGTGAACATGTGCTATAAACTAAAATAAAATTAAATCCCAGACCTGCTAAAGTTTAACCTGCGAATCTCCAGGTCAGAGAGATACATGAATTAAGTTGTTTGTCTTGCATGCATGCACCCCATAGGTGCCCCAAGTTCTTCCAGAAGTGATCACCGAACATAGGGTAATTCCTGAGCAACTCTGGGTATCTCCAAACAACAACAAAAAAGTGTTTCTCTGGGGGCCTGGAAGTGATAGTACAGTGGGTAGCACATTTGCCCTGCATGTGGTTGACCCAAGTTCGATCCCCCTGCAACCTATATGGGACCCCAAGCACCTCCAGTAGAAATTCCACTACTGGAGCTCAGAGCTCAGCATCTGGTAACCCCTGAGCATCATCAAGTATGACTCAAGAATAAGGTAAGGTAAAGGTAAAGGCCCTCCCATTGTTCGTCGATTTGCTCGAGCGGGCCCAGTAACGTCTCCATTGGAGACTTTGTTGTTACTGTGTTTGGCATATTGAATATATATATCTCTGCCGTGCGGGTGAGATACTCTCGGTAGCTTGCCGGGCTCTCCGAGAGGGGCAGAGGAATCGGACTCGGGTCGGCCATGTTGGCTGCGTGCAAGGCAAATGCCCTACCGCTGTGCTATTGCTCCAGCCCGCTCAAGAATAAAAAAAAAATTTTTTAAGTGTTTCTTTGGACTGTTTCTCACTACAGATACCTTTGAGCTACCTGTGTAATTCTACCTAATCCTTTAGATACATTTAGTTTGTTTTATTTTCATTTGGGGGAGCTGGAGCGATAGCACAGCGGGTAAGGGGTTTGCCTTGCGTGCAGCCAGCCCGACCGAGCTGGGTTCAATTCCTCCGCCTCTCTCAGAGAGCCTGGCAAGCTACCGAGAGTATCTCGCCCTCACAGCAAGGCCTGGCAAGCTACCCATGGCGTATTCAATATGCCAAACACAGTAACAAGAAGTCTCAAAATGGAGACATTCCTGGGCCCGCTTGAGCAAAAAATTGATGAAGAGCAGGAGGACAGTGTTGTTTGTTTTGGGGCCACACTCCATTGTGCTCAGGGGCTATTCCTGGCTCTCTGCTCAGGAGTCACCTCCTGATGGTGTTTAACATCATATGCAGTGTCAGGGATTCCAACTGTGATCAACAGGATCCCAAGAAGACAAATACCTCAACTGCTGTATTATCTCTCCTGACCCCCTTTAGACACAGATAGTGTAGTTCATAATTTGTGAGAATATTGTTGTCCTCAGAGGCAGATTTAGAACTTCCTCTAGCTCCCTGGGCACTGTGAAGTTTAAGAGAAGAATGCCAAACACTCTGCACATGGCAGGTGAGATGGCTCAATGAACTGAGCACATACTTCACATGCAGAAGGTTCCCTAGCACCACAGGATCCTGCAGAACCTCTAGGAGTTGATCTCCAAGCACAGAATCAGGAGAAAGAAGATGCCAAACAACCTGAGCACTGCCAACTTTGGTACACACATACACACACACATACACACACACACACCTCACCCAGCCTAAAATAAGTGTTCAATAAGTAATAGTCTGAGTCCTCTCAAGTGTGACTTCTCAGGACCAGGGAGATGGCTCAAATGGCCAGGGTCCCAAGTCTTATTCCCAATCATCCTTGTCCCAAGCAAAACCTACTCAAGAGGCAATACCATGTGAGGATTGGAATTATGGTGCCACAGTCAAAGGAACTACCCTAAGCTAGGAGAAAAGAGGGGGAAAGAGTCTTTCTCTCACCGTCTTGGTCCAGTGGCTGGGAATGTGGCTCAGTGATAGAGTGCATGTCTTGCCTGTGGGAAGCCGTGGGACTCAGCCTCCAGCACTACAAAACACAAGAGTCCTGCCAAACACTGATTCCAGATTTCTATGACATTAAAATCTTGTTGTTCTAAATTATCCCATTAGTGACACATTTCTGGGCTTTTAGCAAATGAATACCGCAGCAAGGTAATTGAATCATCTAGAAACCAACAGGTCAACTGTCCCCCTCACCCCTGCTCCCATTGCCTTGGGTCCGGGCACACCAGCCTCTCTCTGCTTTCTTAAAAATCAGGGGATGGTGGAGCTGGAGTGATAGTATAGCAGGTAGAGCATTTGCTTTTGCACGCGGCTGACACAGGTTTGATTCCCGGCATTCTATGCAAGCACCACCAGGAGTAATTCCTGACTGCAGAGTCAGGAGTAACCCCTGAGCATCACTGGGTATGACCCAGAAAGCTTGAAGAAAAATCAGGGGTGGGGTGAGGGGGTGGAAGAGATGGGAGGGGTTAAAACCATATCCAGCAGGGCTCAGGGTTACTCCTGGCTCCATGCTCGAACTGCTCTACTCTGGGAACCACAGGTGCTGCTGCCCATTGGTGGGGGACCAATATTGAACTGGGACTTTCCATATACAAAGCATTTGAGGGGGAGGGATCTGGTCCACACCCAGAAGTGAATGTTTCTGTAACAAATTGGAAAGAAGTACCTAGAAGGGCTGGGGACTATGGTCAGAAGTTCTGGAAGTTCTGTTTGGTCCCCTTTGGAGTGGTGGGAAGAGAGGAAGAGAACAGGACTAAGAAAAAGAGGCTGCTCATATCTGTCACCCTCACTTGGCTGCTAGTAATGACTAGGCTATTCCTTTTTTGGGGGAGGGGGACATATTAATTCATCTA